GCTGACCACAATTACCGAAAGCCTTATGACCTTCTATTGGTGATCAAATTTCAACCGTTATTGCGTATATTACGATATTTATTTCACCTCTAAACGAGGCATCATCAGGCATTGAATAGAGTTCAGATGTAGCTTGGAAGCCTAGTGTAGACTGGTGGCTGCCAAGATATTTTAGTGGTCTAACACATACTAATGGTAGGTGATTTAAATAAAACAATATAAATTCTTTAAATGGTTTAACGATTTTTATTAGATTTTATATATAGTAATATATTACTATATTATAATACATGACATTTTTACTTATATATTTATACCAATTCAAATAATAAATTCGTTATTGAAAAATTCCTGAACTAGCTTAATTTCTTATTCATGCGAATCGGTATACTAATTGGATTAACGTCGACCAGGCTAGTCTATGTGTGTAATTTATTACCAGAGAGAAAACAGCTATCTATTAAAAATAAAGGTTATTAAATTAATATTAGATGGTATGGTATGTTAGACTCCATTCTCCGCAATTAGCCTCACATTCGGGCCGTTGTGCGTGTAGAGCCAGACTACTAACGTAGCCAGCCAAGCTCCTCCCAAAAGCGCAGAAGACTCCTGGTGTCTTCGCAGGCTTCACGGAGCGACCTCACCGTTCCGAGGATTTGTTTTCGTTGTTCGGCCACTGCCGTGCACTCCAGGATTACGTGAGCCGCCGTTTCTTCAGCTTCAAAGCAGCCCCGACAGAGGGGGCTGTCTGTAGCATCAATTTTGTATAAGTGTTTGTTTAAGGAACAATGGCCCGTTATTGTCCCTATCATTATTTTTAGGTTTTGTCTATCTAGATTAAGTAGACGTGTTGTTAACCGATGGTTCGTTTTTGGAATTGCCACTTTAGATTGTTTGCAATCAGTGGTTAGGTTCCATCTGTGGTTTTGTATTTCGGTGGATCTCTGGCGAATCCAGGTGCGAAATTGCGAGAATGGTATTGGCATGAGCGGGAGGGGGCCTGCAACCACCATGCCGGATCCTACTCTCGCTAGTTCGTCCGCGGCGTCATTGCCATATGATCCGCTGTGCCCCTTTATCCACTGGATAATTACTCCGTTATGCGTTGCAATTTTTTCCAGGGCGATGTGGCACTCGATTATTAGTTTGTTGTTGGATTTTCTGTTCTGTAGTGCTTTAAGCACGGCTGCACTGTCCGATATGAATTTAATGTTGAAATTGTTGACCCCTAACCTGTATACAGCTTTTGCTGCCTCGGTCAGGGCAACACATTCGCACTGAAAGATCGAACTGTGTTTGCCGAGCGGTATAGATATGTTCATGTTGAGGTCAAGGGAATGTGCCCCAGCTCCTGAACCGTTCTGTGTCTTGGAGCCATCTGTGTAGATGCGTAGTTCATTTACTGCAGATTGGTCCCTTTCCTCCTCCTTCAATTGTATTTGGTATTTCCTGTTAAACGAATGGTATGCTTGAGTTCTGTCACACGGAGCGGCAATCAAAGGTTCATATTCGATTGCTTGGTTCAGGATGGTTGTGTGAGAACTGTAATGGTTTTTGCCCCATAGACCAAGATGGTATAATCTTGTGGCAGCTATAGCTGCTTCTTGCTGTATGTATAGGTCAAGGGGTGTAATGTTAAGGGCTATTTCCATTGCCATTGTTGGGGTTGTTTTCATACATCCAGTAACTGAGGAGCATGCAAGTCTTTGGAAAGATCTTAGTTTGTTGACTGTGGTCGTAAGTTTCGACCTTGTCCACCAAACCAAGGCCCCATATACCAGCATTGGTCTTATTACTGATGTGTATAGCCAGAGAGTTATTTTCGGGGAGACACCCCATTTATTACCAAGCATTTTCCTGCATTGATAGAATGCAATTGTGCTTTTGTTAATTTTGTGATCAAGATGTTTATTCCAGAGAAGTTTGCTGTCTAGTATGACTCCCAAGTACTTGACCTCCTCCTTAAGTTTAAGCTCTGTATTAAAGAGTTTCGGTAAATTGAAAGTACCTGGAGCTCTTTTGTTGGTGAACATGATGAGTTCTGTTTTAGAAGGATTCACGGAGAGTTCATGGTTTTCGCACCATCTCTCTATTGTTCTGAAGGCTTCTCTCATGCGATCGCATAAGGTTCCCTCAAAATTTCCTGATATAAGTACGGCAATGTCGTCTGCGTAACCCACCGTGTAGAGGTCGTTGTCGTTGAGCTCCTCAATGAGTTCATTAACAACTAAGTTCCACAGGAGTGGTGACAGGACCCCTCCTTGTGGACATCCTCTACTTACGATCCCACGTGTGGTAGTGTTTACGGTGAACTGGATTGCACGGTTTTTCAGCATGTTGTTTATCCATTCTATGAGAGTTGTTGGTACTCCATGTATGGTAAGAGCGCGACTGATACTGGTAAAGTTCGTTTTATCAAAGGCCCCTTCGATGTCTATGAAGGCACCTAGTGTAGGCTGCTTTGAGTTTAGCGAGTTACCAATGCGACTTACGACGCTGTGGAGTGCTGATTCCGTTGATTTGCCTTCACTGTAGGCGTGTTGGTTGGTGTGCAGTGGTTTGTTTATACATATCAGGTCTCTGATCTCTTTGTCGCAAAGCCTCTCCATTGTTTTTAGTAAAAACGATGTGAGACTAATTGGTCGAAAGGACTTGGCCTGTGTGTAGTCACCTCTGCCAGGTTTCGGAATGAAAATTACTTTCACTTCACGCCATTTCAAAGGTATGTATCGGTGAGCTAGGCATGCCCGGAAAAGTTGAACCAAGTGTTCAGCTATTATGTCACCGCTCCATTTCAGGAGAGCCGGAAAAATACCGTCTAGTCCTGCAGCTTTGAAAGGTAGAAATGTGTTGATTGCCCATGTGAGTCTTTCTCTGTTTATTACTCTGCTTGCTATCTCCCAGTCCGAGCTGCTGGTTGTCCTACTTTCCTGGGAATTCCATGAGTGGTCATTGTCCGCAAGGAATCCTGGGAAGTGAGTTGACAGTAGTAGTTCGCAGGTTTCTGTGTCATTTGTTGTGTAGCTGTTATCCGATTTTTTAAGACAGCCTATTGTGTGTTCTTTCTCTTTGGAAAGGCAGGCCTTCACTTTGACTGCTTGGTTGTTATTGTCTATGTTGGTACAGAATCGCCTCCAACACTCTTGTCGTCTGTGGCGAATTAGTTTTTTATATTGTTTCCTTTTAGTTGTGTATTTGTCCCAGTCACCTTGTGATCTACTGTTCATAGCTGCGTTGAACAGTTTCCTCAGCTTCCGTCGATGTTTCTCTAGTTCGAAACACCACCAGTGTTGCCTACCTTTGTTTTTGGGTGTGGTAAGAGGGCAAGACCGTTCGTAGCTAGAGGTAAGTATGGACGTAATGTTGTTCGCATAGTTGTCTAGTTCCGTTCTGTCAAGGTTGTCAGGGAGGCAGAGTTGTTCCCCTACGTAAGCACTAACTAATCCTATGAATTTGGATTTGTCCGTGTTCCGGGGTATCCGTCTCGGCTGGGGTTTTGGTAGTGATATGTCAATAGTAAAACGGATCCATCTGTGATCGGAGCATGAAAGCTCGCTGGACACATGCCAATCACGAATGGACCCCGAGATGCCTGTTGATGTTAGTGTTAGGTCTATTATGGTTTGTGATCGGGCATTTATGAACGTTGGTTCCGAGCCCTTGTTTTGTAGAGTGAGATTATTACTAAGAATAAAAAGAGCTAATTCCTCACCTCTGTTGTTCGTCTTACTGTTGCCCCACAGCGTGTGGTGCGCGTTGGAGTCAGTGCCGACGACCAGCTCCAGCTTCTCCCTCTCACAGTACTCAGCCAGCTGGCCGAGCTCTGGTGGTGGTATCTCCCCGTCGCTCGGCATGTACGCTGAGGCGAGGACGATGTCGGGGAGGTGTGCTGCACTGGTAATTCTTACTGGTGTTAAATCCCTTGAACAGAATTCGTTGATTAGTGTTGTTTGTACATGGTTGGGTAAGAATACGCATGTTCTTGGTTTACTTACGGAGGTATCCAGTATCACTTTTCCTCCGCTATTTCCGAGACCACAAATTTTGTTCTTCCTGATCCACGGCTCTTGGATCAGGGCTATGGTCTCTGCGTTGTTCTCCAGCACTCTGCGAAGAGAAGCCGTCGCAGTTTGGCTGTGCTGGAGGTTGCACTGCAGGATCTTAGTCTTCCCGTAGGGGGGAGGAGTAGAGGACGCTATCGCTAGCTTCGCTCTCTCCTCCCTCCGCCGGAAAGCACTCTTCATCCAGGATGAAATCCGGAGAAGGTGGATCCTGCACTTCCATCGCAGTCGGAGTTGCTACTCGTTCTGCCGCAGTTACGGGAACCACTGTCGACGTTGTCGGTTTAGGATCCGTTTGCTGCTCAGCAACTTTCGTAACTTCCGACTGTTTAATGTTTGGTTTTGTTTGATGGGAACCATCTTTGTCCATGAAGCGAACGTAGATGTTTCCCATCATGTAGTTTCTTTCCTGGGCCCTTAACACGTCGACATCTGTCTCAGGAATACGGAAGAACAGACAAGTCCCTGGTGGGTCTGTCCTGATCCTCTCGTGTGTCAGGGTCCAGGAGTTCATGTTTAGGTTACTGTTCTGTCCCGAAAGAAGTTCCCGTAGTTCTGTGGTGTCCCCGGTTTCCCCTGGAACGAAGAGCAGGCACGGCACCTTCTTCGGGATGGCCGATTGTGGTCGAACGACTAGGCTCGAGTCTTCCACTGGAGAGGCCATGGTTTGGACGGTCTGTTCTAGCCAGGCTCTGGTGAAGTCATCCTCGCACCAGGTTTTGAGGACGCCATCCGCAAAATGAGCCTTGCCTCGGAATTTCAGGTCCTTTCTGGTTTTGGCTGGGAGTGTCAGGTTGGCTCTTATTTGTTGCCTGAGCCTCACCTCAATCTGCTTCCTGAGATCCTCAGCTTGGTCTTGTGTTAGGTCAGAGTAGGGTTCCACCATGACCGCAACACAGAGTTCGTTGGCCAGGTAGGTGGCTGCCGCTTCTGCGTATGTCATAGAACCCCTACCCGTCGCACCAGCGGTTCTGGGTTTTTTACCTTCCCCGGTTGGTGTGACGGTGTCTTCTGGACGTGTACGCTTTTGCGGTCTTGCCTCGTTTTTTGGGTCGTTTGTCCTGGGTTTCTTACGACCTCGCGGTTTCATGCTGCGCTTTTGTGTGCCAGCAGCCAGAACGGCCCTCGTCCCAGTTGCAGGTGCACTGGGTCCACTCGTTGACGCCTCCCCTTTAGGTTTGGTCGTCGCTGGGCAGGACCCGAGTTGATGCCTCGCAGCATCTACCGCTTCTGCGCGTTGTGCCGCTGCCTTGGCTCTGGCTTTCATGCGCCGCTTCTTGGAGGCCGATTTGGGTTTTATTAAGGTGTTCCCTGGTTGTTTCGGCTTTGATGGTGATTGGATCGCGTCTTTCAGTGACGTCAAGTCCATAGCCTGGTTGTCCGATTCGGTCCCTGATGCCGCTGAAACAGACATCTCCTCCGATTCCACCTTGAACAGTGCCGCCAGGTTCACCTCGGATGGCTCACTCGTTGACGCAGCCTTATTAGGCGCATCGTTGAACCCTTCTTTGGTTCCCCTGGTGCGGCGACTATCTTCGGCAGAGAAGTTGGAGCTGCCTTTCTTGGCGCATCTTTGGTCGACGCTACTGGTACTTTACGGAACGCAGCCTGGGTTGGCGCATTCCGCTCAGTCACCTTTTTCGGCGTGTCCCCTGACGCTGCCTCTTCCAGCGCATCTTTTGATGATGTGGTTGGTACTCCACGGGACGCAGCCTTGGTTGGCGCATACCGATCGGTAGCCTTCCTCATCATCTCCTGCGACGCAGCCTTGCACGGCGCATCCTTGGATGACGAGGATGGTACGTCACTGGACGCAGCCTGGGGTAGCGCATCCTGTTCGGTATACGCAGCTTTGCTCGGCGCATCTCCGGTAGAGTGTCCAGGTGCATCAAATGACGCGACCTTGATTATTGGTCGTTTTGGCGCATCTTGCGACGCAGCCTTCGATGGTCGTTGCTTTGGCGCATTCGTAGACGCAGCCTGTTGCTTCTTGTTTTTTAGTTTTTTTGCCTCTAGATCCATGAGTTGGTTCTTTAAATATTTCACCTCAGGAGCTCTCCACCCTCCACGGAGCCCTCACTTCGGGGACGTCATTCGTTCCACGAATGATCGCCAGAGCTAATAGGTCCAGCAGGCTGAGAAGTGGACGAGTCCGCACGCAGCGAAGCACAGCGAGGACACCTACCTCACGAGACGATGAGGCAGGCTAGCCCCAAAGCACCGCGCCACGCCGACTGTCACCCCCCAGCTCGCCGAGCCTCGCTTGACTGCCCGCTTATGGGGAATCGCAGCCGGTTGATCGTGGTTAGCTACTCCACGACCGCCCGTTTGAGAGGAAATCCAGACCGAAGAGGTGTGTTGTGAGCAGCATACAACTACAGCCGGTACCCTGCTGCACTCAACCGCCAGGACTCCTTCATCCCTCCGTACGGGTCACCGCGCACGGCACAAACACGCGGGAGGTCATTACTATCCACCTTCAGTTTTTTGCTCGATGATGGACACGCAAGGACATGACCTCTTCATCCCTGCATTTGTCGCCCGGTAGTTTCGGTTACGTCTATTTCATAGTGGGCGGCAACCTCGTGAAGGATATCTACCGAACTTGCCTTCTACACGACTTGCGCTCTCCCTTAGACCGCGCCTCCCTACCGCCTCTGAAGGAGGTGGTAGAGTAGGCCTGCGTCCATATCTCACTTTTTTTTTTTTAATGAGATATGACTGCAGGCCCGCCCCTAATATTAGATAATATTAATATTAGATAAGATTAATATTAGATATAAAAACCTACGCATTTTGTTCAGTAAATGGAAATGTATTAGAAAGCATATAATTTGATAAGTATAGAAGCAATAAATATATAACGTTAAAAAGGCTGGAAACATCTTGACAGTTGGGAACTTAGCATAAAATCGTCATGAAAATCCAGGGATCGGCTTGGTGTTGAGCTGATTTCCGGGCTTTTAAGCCAATTGAGAACATTTCAAACCTGCCGCTATGAAAACTCGAACGTTATCAAACAGAGAGAGTTGCTCATAAATTCGAGAGGCCTTTTTGCCGTAATGCCTTTCATATTTCTCCCGAAGCACACTGCGGGTGCCGCTAAAATAAATTACAGCCATCAATAAAAATCTCAGCGAGAGATCCTACGACTTATTTAATTTTTATTCCATCAGAGCGATATTTATCAAATATCAACGCTTTTGGTATATACCGATATTCCATTCATATTTTATTTGTTTAACTTATTTTTCAGTGAATTGTGTGGGTTATGTGAATTCATACATACTACTCACATAGTCACATATATGCATAATTTTACCAAAAATAGTTCTACACAACATATAACTGTATTAATAAAATTATTGTATCCAAATATAATTCCAAATTACTCTATGTAGCTATTTAGAAACTGAAATATCATTAAGTGAGGACACGTCTATTATGCAAAGGAGTATCTACAAACGTAGTTACATAGAAATGGATCTTTTGATCATACAAAATCTTTTGTGTAGCTACCTATTGAAATAATACTATACCGAGGATATGAAATTCAGGAAACAAATTAATTTCGATGTAAACGTCGAATGATGAAGATAAGTAACAATAGATACCTGTGGAATAGGTAGAAGTATCATGTTATCCGTTTACATTGTGCCAAAGTATTGAAGGGTCGGTGTTAACTATTAAATTGTCTTTTCAATAATGAAGTCATGCTGAAATTGTTCGCTTAGAAAATGGAACTTTGTAATAATGGTTTAAAGCTCTATATGTTCTCTATGATTTATATGGGTTAGTACACTTGTCTTAATTTACAAATATTATTACGTCAACAAGGTATTAATGTATCAGGGCACTGAAATTTATTATATATACATACCTATTGGGGCAGCGGGGTGCGAGTTATAATATCCTTAAGATATTGGATTGTAATTAGGTATAGAACAATAATTTATGAAGCAGGTGCTAAGTCAATAAACGACGGATCATGTGATTTTGCTAATATATATTAAAGCGGGTAAGGAAAAGAGAAGAGAATAGACGGGGGGCATTCACTGTCCTTAATTTACTGGCCGGTCTTCTGCTGCGTAAGGGTCCTCTTCCTTGATCGGATGTCCAAGCAAGGTACCGGCAGTTAACTGAACATCCTCGGTCGATGTAACAAGCGTTACAGCGTCCTTCACACCAGAGGGCAGTGAACCCCCAAGAGACAAAGGTTATGAGGACGTATAAAATAATTAAATGAGCGCTGTATGGCGCTGACATATATTTTATTAGGGAGGTATTTAATATATTATTCGCTATTATTATTAGATATTTACTTTATCCCCTAATTGACTTAACAAATATATTTCTAATTTACGTGCGTTTATGTCATACTTTAATTTTGGACTGATTTCAGTGTTCCTATTGATAAAGTTCAAATAATGTGGTGTATTTACACTAGTTTATTACAACGGAATAATACATACAAATGTATTATTCCGTGATTCTTCTAAGGTTCGCCTAATTGAAAGATATCTAAAGGTTTCTTTACCACAGGATAACATGTAAACTGCACATACAGTGATATTTGTATATGACACAGCAACTAAACAAGTCGATACATGCAACTAGAGTAATCAACTCGAAACGCATTAACGCCGATATGCCTTCAAGCGAGTTTAATATTACAGCCTCCATTCCGTATTTCAATAGCGCTTTTGTGTGGATCGTAGCGGTCTAAGCAAAGGTGAAATTGAAAATAGGGATTACATTATTACATGGAAATGTAGATTATCATAAATTAACTAAAATATAAAAGACAATGATTTCGAAACTATATTCCCGGACATGTTCTCAAACTTTTCAAATTGATGATTTATTTTTTAGATCTCCAGACGTTTGAATTATTTATCTAATCAAACTTTGCTTAAGTCAGTAATAATAAAATCTTGAGAAATAAAACAATATCAAATCAGATATTTGTAAATAAATGTATATTATTATATACGTATACATAAACAATGTAGACCGGTACAAAATATTATCATAGAATACGATATATTTTTTTTTACGATATATTTTTACCTGTATGCATCGGATTTATTATATGTTAAAATAAATATCACATTTGTGATAATTTTGCAGTTATGCGATATATAAAATGAATTCGTGAATATTTGCCGACCCAATATTAAATTTGTAAACAAAAGTTACCAACCACAAATAAACTTGACAAAATTATTTGTATTGGTTACCTGGAAATATTACAATATTGGTAAGTAGCGCGCATTAAGCAAATTATGTGCATTCGTTAATTACTCTTCACTTCTAAAGTTAATCAAAATCAAAAATAATTTTTTCAAGAAGAATAATTTTAGCTGCTTCTCTACAGAAGCAGCTAAAATGTACCTACGTACAGTTTTTGTATTAATTTTTTCCTCTAATTAATTGGTTGAAAGAAACCTCCTTATTTACCTACCAGCATTAAGGCCGCCATTTTCCTCACATCTTATTTGTACATTAGTTTATATTTATCTATTTATACAACTTTTATACTATTTATTGCACCAGATATATTAACAGAGTAAAAGTGTACAAAAAACGGTCTTATCGCATATATATCATTTGCATCTCACTTCTTTATTTAAGTCAATATAATCGCGTTATTAGGTTTTATTACATTATGTTCTATATAAATAACATGTAAAAATATAGTTATAATTGTATGATTGCATGGTTTTTCAGGCGTCCATAGGCTACGGTAACCATTTACCATCAGATGGACCGTATGCTTGTTTACTATCTACGTAGTATAAAAAAATATTTGTGATATTTCTATCACACGTGCTACAGGCATAAAAATAAAATGAAACAACTACCATACAAAAAAAATCTATTCCCTATATAATCTATTTTAAAATGAATAGAAATATAGCAACAGTGTTAGACAACATTTTCAGTTCCATAATTTTACGTGTGAAGTACTACATCGCTTCATTTTATCTCGTGTCGTCGTAAGGGAAGGTTCTAATCCGGATTAATTAATCCTCAACTCTGAAGTGCGCCGAGAATTCAACCCGTTCAATATATTTCGGTAACCCGGTCGTGTATACCCCGCGTAAATTATACGTTAATATTATATATTAACCTACTACTACACATAGATGAATATAAAAGTAAGTAAAAGTTCTTAAGTTTATTAACATATACATTATATAACTAAAATTATATAACGATATTTTATTTATATAATGGATTGAGAATGTATAGTTCCATTTCGATACTAAAATTAAAACAAAGCACTGTTTACTAACATTACTAATAATAGTCACATGACTATTTTTATATAATTCTTTATTACATACAGTATAAAAGATTTTATGTTATCTTTGTAATGAATATACTTAAAACACATTTCACGGATTTATT